ATCCTTTTCTTCCATTACGTTGCGATACATTTGTAGCTAACCGTTAATCTGATGCTTTACAACTACAGTTTCTCTGTCACGGTCTGGGATGGGTACCTGGCTTCTCTGTCACGGTTTATGATGGGGAAATTACCTGTCTGTAACGGTCTGTGATGGGGGAATTATCTGTCTGTAACGGTCTGTGATGGGGGAATTATCTGTCTGTAACGGTCTGTGATGGAGGAATAACCTGTCTGTAACGGTCTGTGACGGGGAAATTACCTGTCTGTAACGGTCTGTGACGGGGAAATTACCTGTCTGTAACGGTCTGTGACGGGGAAATTACCTTTCTGTAACGGTCTGTGACGGGGAAATTACCTGTCTGTAACGGTCTGTGGGGGAGGGGGGGGGGGCNAGGGGTCGGGGCGGGGAAATTGCCGCTTGGGGGGGGTGTGGGGGGGGGGGGGGGGTCCAAATTTCTACCCCTAAACACTTCAACACTCCTTTCAGATCGTGTTTCACAAAATATGTAGCGTTCACAGTGATGCATCCCTTATCGTCTATACATAAAGTGACAGAAAAACACAATAAACCAAATTCTACAAATTAGTATATAGCGTTTCACTTCTTTAAGTCACCATATAAAAAATGCTGCAGAATTAAAGCAACAGCTCGGATATGAATCAAAATTCATGTTTTGCAGAGATATCCTTTTAAACTCTGTCAGTCAAAACTAAAGCAGACAGGTTTTCTGATATGTTGATATACATTAATTAAGTCTTCATGTAGAGTTTTCAAATCAATAGCAATCAGATATTGAATTAAACGAGCATTTCATACAATCGAAAGAATTACTCAATTTCAAAACTACCAGTCCCTGCTGCCGTTCATATTAAAAAGATTTTTAAACAGCTGCCGATTGATCTGTCGGCGTACACCACGAATAGGGTATATTCTCGAATCAAGATTTAACCAAAGATGTTGCTTAGTTAGGTATATATATAGCTTTGAGAAAAAAATTCTGTTTGAAGTTTGGTTATCCATTTGCATGGAAGTGTTATACTAGAGTTTGTTAAATTTATTGCTGATCAATCATCAAACATGTAGAATATTGAGTAAAGAAAAAACATCGATTCACTATCATTTGATTTGCATGGTGATTTTTTTATTGATTGTACTGGTTACAAAACATCATTACTTCAACGGTTAAAAGAGAGCTTGAGTTTATTGGTACCGATTGTGTATAGTTACATTTTACATCTGGCTATGTTTTGCATTTGCTGGTGAAAGATTTAGAACGTAGTGGTCGATCAGTCAATTCAATGACTGTGATTGATATTACGGGCAACTCTTCTAAGGAAAGTACTGGTTTTGTGATAACTCTAATGTGTAAAATCGATAGAACTGATCATAATTCATTAGGGACATTGACAGCAATTGTTGTTGACTGTGTTAATTCAGAATATTCACCTAATGATTCAAATGAATATTTATTAGAATGGATAAAAGAAAATATAGATCTAGAATATTATGTTGTTATAAAAATAATGAAATTATGTAGTTCATTAACTTCATATCGTCATGCAATCAATGATTGAAGATGTTAGGCAAAAAATGGCATCAAAATGATATATTATTAGGTGATGCCATGTGTATATTTAATCCTTACTATGTACGAGGTATCGTACATTCAAGAGAATTGAGGAAAATATTTAATGAAAATTGTCATAAACTAAAAGATATTTCTCATATTTTTAATCGGCATGCTTCTGTAATTGCTGAGTATAGTATTGACTTGTTTTGAATGAAAATGATTGGACAATAGCAAAAATAAAAGTGATCGATACGAATAAAAATCCTGAAGTTAAAATTTACCAACGATATTGTATATTCGCATTCGACTAATAACAGTCAACTACGAGTACCTATAAAAATACAACTTTTGCAATGGTGTCATCATTGATTTCTTCAATGTATGGGTGCGAGCATGTGTGAAGAGGGTAAGACCCACACCTCCATAAGTTAATATTACGAAGTTTCGAACGAAGATATTGAGCTGTTCTCCAACCACGCTCCAGTGAACGCCAAACTCACATACTCCCGCTTAACGCCACTTTGAACAGTTATGTTTTACTTGAATACCAAAAATTAAACTTCCAATGGAATCATGTGTAGCCACCGTTCATTTAGCATTGGCACTGGCATGTTCACGCAACATAAATATAGAAACGTATTAAGAAAATTCATATTAGTATTCTTTTCTCCAAATTCACTTCTCACAATTATTGTCTCATGTACAATTCCATACTCAAGGAATATAATCAGTTCTGTATCGATGTAAACAGAAAAACAAAATACTTACAAAAGAATAAAGTCTTTGAATCTTTGATATAAAATAATTGAAAATCTACTTCGATAGGATCAAATAATGAGTATGCAGGGATCCATTCATAAATCCATATAAAATTATTTCTTTTTATTTTCATTTTTTTTTACTATTCTACCATTGATATCGCTGTCCATTTATTAATTTATAATTTATCAAAATTATTTAATTTGTTGTTTTAGTATTTCAACGGGACAATCGTTTCTTTTTCTTCTATTTTCGAAGCCATACTAGATAGTGAACTCTTTATTTATATTCGAGCTCAAATCAGACAACTCACGAAGAACGAATAATTAATATTTAGAAGAGAAATACTGTTGTTCTTCTATGTTGTCCGCTTAAGAAATATATATTCAAATTCTGTTAATCAAGCTTAATCAAACACGAATCTTTTTAAAAAATGTTGCCACAGCAAACAGCTCATATTTATTGAAATAAATGCTATCTTATTCCGAATCTAGCTCTAAAAACAAAACTAAATCAAGGAAATTCAATACTTTTCCCTGTTAATGCATTTAACACCATTCATATGAATAATGAACTTTCTTTTAGTAATTTTGCAATAGTGCTACTTTACATATCGTATGTACATAGTATAACTGGAAGTCTTTATATCAATGTAAATAGTTCTACAAAAAAGTCCATTGTTAAACAGGACGATTTGAAATAAGTAGATTAAACTTCTCTTTTTATTTAAGAAGTTAGACGATCTATTTTTACAAAACAAAAATATTTTCAATCAAACAGTAAAACTGAATTTTGAAAAGCAAAAAAGATAACAAATAATGCCAACGATGTTAAGAGAAAGGCCAAGATATGAACAGATGATCATCTTGTTGAGTTGGACGAATTAATCGTATGAAGTTCGACTGAATATAATTGTTTTAGCGTAATGGAATTCAATTAGTTGCGTACCATCGATTCAAATTCACCGAATATTGCATATTTGGTAGATAAAATAAAATTCAACATTCGGATCAAATTGCTTATTGAATCAGTCATAGGGGCGATGTTTTCTGATTGTCATATAGCTCATCCCATATTCAGCTAATATCTATCATTCAGTTGTAGTGAAGAGTTTGATTACATACATCATAGAAATCAAATGATTTTGTTTCTATTTAATGAGGAGGTAAGATGATAGATCATTTTTATCATCTATTTTTGATGCAATATTTTGTATTTGAATAATTGAATATTAATTGTGATATAGGAATCGCTTCTTCTGCTGAAGATGACTCTTAAGATTGTATTGACAGAACAAAAAGGTTGCTATATTGGCTAATACTGGAAATAATTCAATGAATGCGATTATAATCGCTTTGCCTAAATCACTGTAAAGAATATTTTTCTTGTGTGTGTGTGTGTGTTGGAAATTTGAATGTTTTTCAATAGTTGAGACGATCATCTGAATGTTGACAGGCATCTTGTAGTTTCTTTTTTCTTGTCGCTGGACATATTATGAATCAATACATTGACAGAAATGAATGATATGTTCTTTCAAAACGATGAAAGAAAGCATGATTGATACAAAGAAAAGTAGAGAAAAAAAATGTACTAGTGCGATATAAAATGCATTATTATATAAATAGAAAATACTACATTAAATCGATGATCTACATTAGAGTACAGCAAAAATTTGATTGTAAAAGAATGACAATATATACAAAATGATAAGTTTTACAACACGTAAAATATATTCACATTAGCATCGAAAATAAAAATATTTTTTGAATAAAAGAGATAGAAAGAATTGAAATGATTAGTCATATATCCCGTTTTATTAATTGTAACAATGAAACAGATGAGGTATGAAAATACTTACAAATATAACTTACTTTTATTTTTGTTTTAAAATAAATTCCATCTGTGTTTCTTGATGAAACATAAACAGTATAGTTTCGGAGAAATCAATGCCAACTTTCAAAACATTGAATGAATATATCCCTGCTCAATATCATATTGTGGTTTAATGATATTCATTTAGCTATAGAGATCTTCGGATTCTATTCTTGATCTTGAGGGTGTGGATGCGGGTGCGGGTGCAGGTATGTAAAAAAAGAACTAAGCTCACACCCACACCCTCACCAGGACCGGTGATCCTACCTACGGATCCCGCTGGACAGCTTCGACCTAGATCGGAATATCACCCACGCGATGTCTTAATTGGTCTGCTTCTGCTCTCCTTAACATAGGTATTTTAGTTTCTGGGTTGTTTGGATCTTTCAT